ACAAGGAGCTGCGATATGAGGACAAGGGGCTTGAATATGAGGACAAGGAGCTGAGATATGAGGACAAGAAGCTGCGATATGAGGACAAGGGGCTGGAATATGAGGACAATGAGCTAGAGTATGAGGACAAGGAGTTGCGATATGAGGACAAGGGGCTTGAATATGAGGACAAGGAGCAAGAGTATGAGGACAAGGAAGCTGCGATATGAGGACAAGGGCTGGAATATGAGGACAATGAGCAAGAGTATGAGGACAAGGAGCTGCGATATGAGGACAAGGGGCTTGAATATGAGGACAATGAGCAAGAGTATGAGGACAAGGAGCTGCGATATGAGGACAAGGGGCTTGAATATGAGGACAATGAGCAAGAGTATGAGGACAAGGAGCTGCGATATGAGGACAAGGGGCTTGAATATGAGGACAAGGAGCTGAGATATGAGGACAAGAAGCTGCGATATGAGGACAAGGGGCTGGAATATGAGGACAATGAGCAAGAGTATGAGGACAAGGAGCTGCGATATGAGGACAAGGGGCTGGAATATGAGGACAATGAGCTAGAGAAATGAGGACAAAAAGTTGAGATACGATGACAAGGACCGGGGAAAATGAGCACAAAGATCTGCAATACCAGGACAAGGAGCTGGGATATGAGGACACGGAGCCGAGATAGGAGTACGGAGCGCAGCAACGGTGCCCAATCCCTTGGACCATCGGGAATCGAAAGCGGACCCTGCGAGAGGCGCGAGACCACCGTTGGACCCACACCGTGAGTGATGTAAACACTTGCCGGCAGGTCGACAAGCCGGCAGGCCAAGCCATGAATATAAAATAACGAAAAAAAAAAAAAAACGTTACTTGAAGACGATAAATGCATCGTAAAAAGCAGCTCGGTTAGTGATACCCAACTTCTTTATTGTGCCTCACTAGTAAGACCGCGAGTATATTGAAAGAAATGTGTCTTATTTGTAAAAAGTCAAACACACGCTTGGTATATTACCGAGAACACATTGCGGGCGGCGTGCGTTTGAAGTGAGAGATATATTCTCTGGTTTTGTCGATCAAGAGGGAAATGTGTTTCGATACATGACCCCCCCCCCCCCTTTGTATTAAAGATATGATTTATAAACACGTACACACGCACTCGTAACGAAATACACACACACACACACACTCACACATATATACAAATTGACTTAAACTGTGAGAATAAGTGTTTATCGAGATATATATATGCGTGTTTTCCACGTGTGTACTCACCTACAATTAGGTGAGTACACACGTGGAAAACACGCATATATATATATCTCGATAAGGCCATACAACAGGATCGAACCGCTGTCTCCGGACTCGTTTAAAGCCGCAAACTATATTCAAGATTCCCCCTCCCCCCCTCTCTCGAGTAGATAAATAAATATTTTAGAGCATCGAGTTCATAAACACGCCTCGTGGGAGAGGTAAGAGTGAGGATGGAGAAGGAGAGTGAGAGGAAGGAGAAGAGGAAGGTAGAAAAAGAGAGAGGAGGAGGTATAATGGAGGCCAGGATTATTTCTCTGCAATTTTGAGATGCAAAGGACTTACCCTGCATACTTCGGGGGGGGGGAGGGGACTTGCCATCCTTAACACCTTTATCCTACAACACAGGACCACGGGTGAGGCGGGACCAAAGAGCCAGAGCTCACCCCCCCCCCCCCCCCCCGCAAGCACAACTAGGTGAGCACATGTTGTCATACTGATCACCACAAGGGCACTCGTTATCATACTGATCACCACAAGGGCACTCGTTATCATACTGATCACCACAAGGGCACTCGTTATCATACTGATCACGTGTACGTGTACTCTTACACGTACCCTGTACCCTTATACGTACTCTGTACGCTCACACGTGTACATCTGTCAAATGATAACGCAGGTGTCCTAAGGCCAGCTCAGCGTGGACTGAAACCTCGCGTAGAGCAAAAGGTAATTCTGAATTACAATGTGAAGAATGATCTCAGTCAATACCTTCACCCACACGAATGAAACGAAGGGGGAAGTACAACGTTTCAGTCCCTCTTGGACCCATAACAAGTGTCGTAAGTGTTCAAGGACGGAGAGTTACGCCCGTTACTTTCGCTCAGTATGTGTAGTTGAAACAAGTAGTCCAAGTTTCGTTGGACTACTGGTTTCAACCAAGCTGTTGTGATGACTCTCTGTTGCATTTATTTAGTATATTTATATTTTAGATCAAGTACGCGGAAATTACATTGTTTCAGATCGTGAGTTTTGCGTTATTTAGTCTATTTTTTCGGGGGGGGGGAGAGAATTAGGGAGTTGGTGTTAATAAATAAATAACTATGAGGAGAAAGCGCTAAGCCATTACGACTATATAAGCACTATCTTGAGGTTATCTTGAGATGATTTCGGGGCTTTAGTGTCCCCGCGGCCCGGTCCTCGACCAGGCCTCCACCCTCAGGAAGCAGCCCGTGACAGCTGACTAACACCCAGGTACCTATTTACTGCTAGGTAACAGGGACATAGGGTGAAAGAAACTCTGCCCATTGTTTCTCGCCTGGGATCGAACCCAGGAGCACAGGATCACAAGTCCCGCGTGCTGTCCTCTCGGCCGACCGGCTCCCTAGGAAGGACTCTGCCCATTGTTTCTCGCCTGGGATCGAACCCAGGACCACAGGATCACAAGTCCAGCGTGCTGTCCTCTCGGCCGACCGGCTCCCTAGGAAGGGCTCCGCGAATAATCATTCCGTAGATACATCTACACCCTTAACTTATACAACAAGGACATACATGATACAGTACATCAGTTCTGTATCGACGTTCATACTCAACACGTAAACCCAAAATTAACAAATATTGATTTCGGTCTGACAAAAAAAAAAAAGAGAATTGATATGCCTTTGGCGTGGCGTGACGTTTAGAGAGTAATTGACGAGCCGCTGAAAATGACGTTAGGTATAATGGTTTTAATAGGATTGGAAGCGCAGGATTAATCGCCATGAAAGTATAACGTTTTGCCGAATTTATCGCGACTGGAAGACAAAAGAAGGGAGTCCAATACCACTATTATGGACGCTGTTACGCCCGATTCCATACCTTCCACATGTGTTATTTGGAGAAAAAAAAGCATGATGAAAACAGCGTTAGTAATTTCCGGTAAAATAAAAAAGTTACAGAATAATATAAATATACTGTATATAAATATGAGGAAGTCATTTTGAGGTTATGGAGTGACTTGAACCGGCGTTCTGGTGAGTCCTAGACACCTGTCTTAACCGTCGACTCGGCCACGATGGGTCAAAAGTCGACCATCCCGGAACTCTACTGAATTCACTGGTAGGTTCTGGAGGCCTCGAACTGCAGTCCAATAAAAAGAGTGTGCAAGCCAGAGTGTGAGCGGGTCGACTGTAAAATCCTGATTGCCCTCCAGTCCAACAACTTGGGCTGGACAGTAGAGCGACGGTGTCGCTTCCTGCAGGTCGGTGTTCAATCCCTGACCATCCACAAGTGGTTGGGCACCATTCCTTCCCCCCATCCCCCGCCCCATCCCAAATCCTTATCCTGACCCCCCTTTCCAAGTGCTATATAGTCGTAATGGCTTGATACCTGGTTGATGGGGGTTCTGGGAGTTCTTCTACTCCCCAAGCCCGGCTCGAGGCCAGGCTCACTTGTGATAACTTGGTCTAACAGATCCTTGCCGCTTTCCCATGATAGTTCTCTTCCCCTTCCAGTTCAGGGGCCTCCAGAATATCCCAGTGAATTCAGAAGAGTTCCGGGTTGGTCGACTCTTGACCCATCGTGGCTGAGTGGGTTAAGGCAGGTGTGTGTGGGGGGGAATCACTAGAATCACGCAGGCGATGAGTAACAATAACGTGGCTGAATAATCAGATATTAATACTTGTATACTATCTTTTAATACATGAATACCTGCACACCATAATTTAATACCTGTACATCAGCAACTAATACCTGTGAACTAGCATTAAACACTTGTATACAGTATACCACCATTAAATATTTGTATACCAGTATTTAATAGTGGTATACAAACATTTTATACCTGTATACAAGCCCTAAAAACCTGTACATCGACATTTAATACCCGTATACCAGCATTTAATTCCTATTTACTAGCTTCAATGCCTGTAAACAAACATTAAACACCTGTAAACAAGCATTAAACACCTGTATACACACCAGCATTGAACACTTGTACACACCAGCATTAAACACCTGTACACACCAGCATTGAACACCTGTATACACCAGCATTAAACACCTGTATACACACCAGCATTGAACACTTGTACACACCAGCATTAAACACCTGTACACACCAGCATTGAACACCTGTACACACCAGCATTGAACACCTGTATACACACACACACCAGCATTAAACACCTGTATACACACACCAGCATTAAACACCTGTACACACCAGCATTAAACACCTGTATACACACACCAGCATTAAACACCTGTATACACACACCAGCATTAAACACCTGTATACACACCAGTATTGAACACCTGTACACACACACACCAGCATTAAACACCTGTATACACACACCAGCATTAAACACCTGTATACACACACACCAGCATTAAACACCTGTATACACACACCAGCATTAAACACCTGTATACACACACACCAGCATTAAACACCTGTACACACACACCAGCATTAAACACCTGTATACACACACACACCAGCATTAAACACCTGTATACACCAGCATTAAACACCTGTGTACACACCAGCATTAAACACCTGTATACACACACACCAGCATTAAACACCTGTATACACCAGCATTAAACACCTGTATACACACACACCAGCATTAAACACCTGTATACACCAGCATTAAACACCTGTATACATCAGCATTAAACA